TTTTTCTAAACGCCATTATCAATCAATTGTATATAAAAAAAATATTTTTCTTTTTTATATAATAAGAAAAGAAAACTAAAATAAAAATATTGATGTAGTTTTGTTTAAAATAATTGCATATTAATTCAGCAAGTACTATGCAGTATTATTTAAGTTCAGATTACTTCCATTTTTATTTATATAATGACTATGAGTGTGAAATGTATTGCAATTAAAAATAAATAAATTTATATTTATATTGAATATAACTCGGCGATTTAAGTGTCGATTTTAGTTATAACTCTCACAACAAGTTATTATTCTCAAGTAAATTATTACATATCGAGTATTTAGCAATCTGGTATAATAATTGGCGTCAAGGGAAAAGCAATTTTTGTTTGAATTTCTAGATATGGATTACTTTTATATTTCTGTTATTTACGAGATGCAAAGTATTTTGTACAGATACGTATGTTAAGATAAGTAGTTCGTGAATTTCAAGTCAAAGAGCTTGGAACATTGTTCAAAGCACATTTTAATACTCTCTTCCCTCCGCCATAATAGAATAGTATGTAATATATACATGTGATTATAAATTTGTATTAGTTTATTAATCACATCTCATTTAATATTTTTGTATATTTTCTTACTGTGTATAGTTAAAATAACTACTATGGTGTAAGCAATATAAAGTAATAAATGTTAAAATAATTGTAAAAGTATTTTAATTAAAACTAGGTCCATTTTCTGAACCAAACTTCTTTCTTATACATTTTTTAACATTTGGCAGATAGCTGTGATATTATAATTCCTTTCAATGAACTTACTAATCTTGATTTATTGAGTGCAATACATACTAATAAAAATAAAATAATTAGGGAAGGTGCACTACAATCATAAAATTTTCCATCTTTGATAATGCTGCAGTTAGATATATAATATATATAGCTCTAATTTTTTAAATTTAAAATGTATAATTTATTGTAAATCTGTCTTTAGTGTGTAGAATTAGTACTAACTAATATTCTAATTAAAGTGTACCTGGTAGCCATTTGTATTTGGCACAAAGTAAGCTTTGGAAGTTGTCCTAAAATAAAGTAGGTAATAAATTATTATGACTTATATGTGAATGTATCCATTAAAATGAAATCTTATTCAACATTTTAATTTTTTAATATTATCTTGCCAATAGAATTTATTTTAATTATTGTTTACAGTATATTGTGTGTAATATTTATAAAATATAATTTAAAATGTAGTTTATACAAAATATGATTTATCGATTAGTTCAAATGTTTCACTTTAAATGTTTTCTCTTAATAAATGTGAAAGCTGGCCATGCATTTTTTTATTTGCCTAAGTCAGACATTTCCGCTTTAGTTATTAAACACATGTAAAAGAAAAAATAATAAGATTAAAAGACAGTATTATTTGATTTATTTACCTTTGCTAGTTATACATTGGTAAAAATATTAATGCTTTGAAACAATTTGACTTAGCATTTAGGTTTGTAACAACAAAATCACGCAAAGTGGAAAGTATGGCTTAAAGGGATCTACTGTTATATTCTTATGTAGACAAGACATGTGGAGTCTATTGATAAATCTTGTAGCTGTTATGTGAAACAAATAATGCAAAGCCTTACAATGAAACAGTAGTACTTTATCTTATGTCTCTAAGAAATAATTTCCTAAAATATTTTACACTTGATATAAACTAAGAAAAATATGCATTTTTTAAAATTAATTCTGTGTGATTATAGTCATATAGAAGTAACTTTAGCCTTAAATTTAACATGTTGCTGATTATTTTGAATTTATGCCCATATTCATAAACAAAAATATTACAGAATATAATAATGTAAAATGTTCTATTGTTCATAAGCATAGGCATTAATAGCATTCACCCAAGAAATAAAACATCTGTAAATCTAGTCCTAATTATACAAAAAGCAAGTTAGACTTTTAAAGGCCACAATAATTTAGGTAGAGATAAATAAATGGGTGTGACCCTATAAGTAGGTAATTAGGAGCCATTACAAAGTGATTCTTATCAGAAGTTTGCCACCCAATCCACTGTAAATATAAAAAAACAAGCAAACTAGTTGCCTTGTGAAAGCTTTAAGGTACAATAAATGCATAAAGACAAATTCTAAATGTGTAAACATAAATATCAATACTTGAAATTATGCCAAATATTATTAAATATTTATCAGATTTACACAAAAAATAGTAAAACATCCTATAATTTAGCAAAGTAGGAGCAGATTGGGTTGTTAAGAAATGTATATTAGAAATAACTAAAAAGTGCTTCCCTCTGGTGGCTGGGAAAGCTTCATGTTCTCCTTAAGAGTCATAAGACGTCTGAGCTCTTGCAGTACTGTCTTAATAGTGTAGTCACGTTGCCATCTGGCTAGAATGGGAACTTGTCTATTGTCAACCTGAAGTCATACAAATAAACCAAGTATAAACAAAACAAATTAAAAAAATAATTTTTAAATTAAGGAAAACAAGAATTTACACTTACAAGTCCAGTCTGACTGTTCACACAGTTCATGTTGATTCTAGAAATAAATCTAGCAGTAGGAGGCTCATCGGGATACCGGGTTCCACATTCAATTTTGAGTGAATACATTCTATTTTCATAAGGAGTCTAGAACAAATGTTTTTTTTCATGTAAACTAGGCCTATAAGTGTCATGAAGGTAATAAAAACTTAAGCACTTTTACTGATGCCTAAGTGAGAGTAATCAATAATGATATATTCTTAACATAATCTAATTTACTTATAAGTACTATTGACTGACCACTACACAAAGCAATGTATATAAAAAACACTTCAAGATTCTTACATTTGGAATAATCAGTAGATAGATTTATTTGTACATATTAAAAAATGCGATTAAGTTTATACTTAAAAAGTAATAAAACATTTACCCTAGGAGGACCAATTATCATGCCAGTCCAATGAGTTAGGGTCATGTCATCATCGCTTTCGAGTCCCCAAGAAATAGTCCCATCGCCCACTCCCTTCTGACCTTGCTCAAGTTCTTCTAGAAGACGAAAATTTCTAGGAACCACTGAAATACGAGTAACAAAGGTAAGCAAAGAAATTGTCAATATTTCAAATTGAGCTATGTTTAATAATTATTAAAATAATTAATCATCAAAAATATACAATGAAATTCTTACCAACGCCTGATGACGGATTCGCCATGATCACAATTTCACCGGCGCTTACTACCTACCGAAAAATTAACTTATTTCAATCTATAATATCTACTTGTAGTGTAAATATTTTTCATGAGATCTTTCAATGATTTATATGTACTTGTAACGATGATGTATATTTTCATTTATTCTATAAAAATCCTTCACTCAAACTGCTCAAAGAGCAGGTTAGCAATTTTTATGCTGACTTTGACAAATGTCATCGCCGGGTAAGTAGTAAACGACCAATTCTCACGTCATTACCTACTCTATGATTCATAGTACCATTTCATAGCTTAAAATTTTATGGTTAAAATTTTCAACTATTAATAAGATGATCCAAAATAACTAGTACATATTCTATTAATTATTATTATTGAAGAAAAAAGAAAGGGTATGATGGTGCAACTCTTTATTAACACCATAACTAACGAACCAAATATATTTCATAAAGTTCATTGTTTTTTTTAACTACAAATGGATATATAATAATTTTGCTTTTGTCTCCTGCCACATGTCGCGCTCACTATGGCCCTCAGTATATTGTAAAGCTCTATAGTGTGGATTGATATTTTTATTTTATTTAAAATTTTACTAAAATAACAAATTGTGCAGTGACAGGATGCAAAGAATGGATAATAAAAAAAAGATGGATATCATTTGTTCTTATAAGACAAAAACTGAAGAAATTGTAGGGTAAAGCAATAAGACTACCAAAATTGGCGAAATCACAATCTTTATATTTAAGGCTATGTGGACATCATTTTAAAGAAAGTGATTTTAAAACTTCTAAGTCACCTACAAGTGAATCTATTTTTATTTTTTTGTACTTTGTTAAATATTAATTACGAAGTTTCATACAAGATTTAATCCCCCCTCCCCATTTTACTCCCTTATGGGATTGAATTTCGAAAATTGCTAAAACAGGTATTTATTTAATTGTATTGAATAGCATTAATACCAAGTTTCAAGTAATTTTGATCGAAAATAATTCTTTGGTCATATAAAATTTATTACCCCCTTTAAGGAATGAACGTCGAAAATAATCAAATGAATATATTTCTTATTTTTTATCTTAGTGCTAAGCACCATTTTCTGTGTATTTCACATTAAGAAAGACAGAGTTTCATACAATCTTTAATCCTCTATTTTACTCACTTAGAGGATTAATTTCGAAATTTCCTTTCATATCGGATGCCTTCATCATATAAGAAATTCGTCCTCCAAATTTCATGTTTCTACGACCAGCAGTTTGGGCTGTGTGTTGATCCATCAGTTAGTCAGGACCACCGCAGGATGCACCTCTCCTTCTCAATTCTTTCTTCTGCTTGTCTAACTTTTAGGTACAATACATTGTACAGGTAAGATGCGATCATAATAGAAGCAAAAAACCAGGTATAAAAGAGATATCATAATAAATTGCTAAGAAATGTAAATAGGCCAGACGTATGGCGCCCTCCTTTCGAGAATGCTTCCTCATTTAATAGTTCTACTTAACTTATATAATTAAAAAAAAACAAACATAATATTAGTTATCTGTGTCCTATGTGGCCAGAGTGTATACAAAAAAAATAGATACAGCTTCTATAATTTATGGTTTTTACCACCGCGTAATGCGTATGGTTAGATTGTGTGCGTTTTCCCTTTTCTGTGCTGTGGACTCATTATTTTGAGATAAACACATGGTTTTCTACAAAATCAAATGTTATCCGTTATTTTCCTTGGAATAGTAGTGTCAAATTGTATTAGCTATCATGTTTTACACTGTAATTTGATAAATATTGTGACGTGATAGTGCAGTTTTGGAGGTAAAATGCCCACTTCAATTTGTGACCCAGTATCAAGCGCATTGCGTTTATCTCTTAAGTCTGAAGAATCTCAAAACTCAACATTATTAGATAGCAGACTTTATTCATCAGCTAAAAGTGTTTTATTATCCAAGATTGAATTTGAAGAGTCTGGTGATTATCAAAGCAATGTCTTAGACGGCTTAAAATCTAAGTACGTGGTTATTCGACCCAAGAAACCAGTGCTAGAAAGTAAATTTCTTAAGAAAGAAATCAATTCAGGCAGCCAATCTGCTGGTAAGTTCAGTTTATAATGAAAATATCGTAATAAATAGTTTCAGACTTATCTTACTTACGAATGTGAAACGTGAGGTTATCTTTCATGATGTCAATATTTACTTCAGTGGAAAACATGTCATTTTATTAGGTACATAGATAGTAATGCATATGCATAACTGATAAAGTTGTAATCTGATTATCCAGTCTTATGACTATGTTCCTACAACTAGGTTTTTTTTAAAAAGATCCCTCGTTTTAATTTCCTTTTTTGCGCAATTCAATTAGAATACAAATCAATAATCTTCTATATATATAAAAGAAAGTCGTGTTAGTTACTTCGCTTATAACTCAAGAACGGCTGAACCGATTTAGCTGAAAATTGGCAGGGAGGTAGTTTAGAGCCAGGAGAAGGACATAGGATACTTTTTATCCCGTTCGACCGCGTTCCAATTTTTATGATATTTTAATTTTTGGATTTCTCTTAGTCCGGAATAGGTAAGTATTAAAACATATAATTAAAATGTGAGAAAGAAAGATTTTTTCTTTTTATATCTATTTAAAACGTACCTAGCGACGAACCCGAGCGAAGCGAGGGTGAGCCGCTAGTTATTTATAAACAGAAAGTAAATGTTATATTGCTTTGTTCTTTAATAACTTAGGTTATGATGCTATATGATTTTAACTATTATCATATATATATTACAGAAAGTTCTAAAAATGGGGAAGACGGCCTTCCAAAACCTAAAAGGGTCTTTTTCCCTGTTGAAAAGGTGCAACTGGGATGGCAGAGTGCTTGGGCTGCTGGTGCAGGCATGCAAAATGTGGGCAACACATGCTACCTTAATTCAACTTTGCAAGCATTGTTTCATGTGCCTGCATTTGCTAATTGGCTAGTGTCTGAAACAGGCCATTCTGAAAAATGTAATCAGCAAGGTAACTACCATATAATTAATGTGTATGAAGTAAACATGTGGCAGTATCTGAGTTTTTTTGTTATTTAATTTCAGAAGCATGTGTCATTTGTGGTATGCGGGCAACTCTCATGGCTACCCAGAAGAGTGGCAGTGCACCCATCAAACCTTGGCAAGTGTACTCTAAGCTACGTCTTATTTGCAGACATTTAACTCCAGGTCGCCAAGAAGATGCTCATGAATTTTTAAGGTGAATAATATAATGTAATAGAAGTTGCATAAAAATATGTGACGAGTTACTAGTTCTCAATAGGTATAATAAATTATTGAAGACTTAGTGACAGTGAAATAATATGTTTCTTTTGATATTTCCAGATATCTTGTCGAAGCCATGGAGAAATGTTACCTATCTCGTTTTATAAATGCAGATAAATTGGATCAGTATAGCAAAGAAACAACTCCTTTAAATCAAATACTTGGTGGATACTTAAGATCTACAGTTCGTTGCCTAGCCTGCCAACATTTGTCCACAACCTATCAACATTTCCAGGTAAATATTTTTACCTATAGTGACTTTGGTTACCAATATATTCTATAATTGCTATATTTTATATTAATTATAAATATATTTTTTAGGACTTGTTATTAGATATAAGAAAACATTCAACTTTAGATGAAGCTCTAGATTCATTTTTTTCTAGAGAAAGATTAGAAGATCTTGGGTATAAATGTGAAGCATGTAACAAAAAGGTAAAATTCAAATACATAATATATAATATAAAATATTTACATTACTCATTTAAAAATATAAAATAAATACATTGTATGTTTATTTAGAATTTATTAAGTATTATTTAATTATAGGTATCAGCAACCAAGCAGTTCTTTGTGGAGAGAGCACCAATGGTACTCTGCATTGCTCTTAAAAGATTTTCTCTTGTTGGTGGAAAACTCTCTAAACATGTTCAGTTTAGAAAAAAGATTAACCTTAGCAAATATATGTATAATAAAAGTAGCCAACAACAACTAGTGAGTATTATTTGATTTGAGATTACTACATATACAAAAAAAAAAGAAAGAAAACGAGTTAATGTTAGTCCTGCTGAGTTTCTTTTGCCAGTTCTTCTCAGGTCTGAGGCTTCTTCTTTCCGAACTGGTAGTAGACTCATGACGTTCAGTAAAAAATTGTATTAATTTAATGCTGAATAAAGTATTTTGAATTTGAATATTATATTTTATAAAAATGACCTTACTATGAAATAATTTCCTTTTCAGTCCTATAAACTAGTAAGTTTGGTGACTCACCTGGGTCCTTCTCAAAACTGTGGACACTATACTGCAATAGGTCAAGCACCTAACAGTAATTATTACCAGTTTGATGACAGTTGTGTTAGACCACTACCACTTTCAGCTGTACTTGGTACTAATGCTTACATTATGTTCTTTGAGAAGGATAACGCTATAGAAGATTCCAATGTACCAATTGCATCTACCTCTAATGTAGTCTATGGACCACAGATCCCCGATAATATTCTAAACAGGGAAAAAAGCCCCCTTAAATTGACATTCTATAAGAATGATGAGCGAAGGCCTATTATTTTAAATACAAGCAGTACTGATTCGTCTAAACCTGAAGCTAAACCTATTATTTTAAATTCGACGCTTAGTAAGTCAATGGAATCTAGTAATTCCATATCTGAACCATGGGTTGTTAAACAGAATGGTGAAGTAGAAAAAGTAGTAATAGGGCCAAAACCATTTAATGGTGCTGACAAAAATTCTTTAAAAGTAGATGAAGAGAAGAAAATTAGTTTTGCTATAAAGAAACAGGGTAGTGAGGAATTCCATCTGAAGCCAAAACTTTCGAAAAGTGATTCTGATATAAAAAGTACCTGCAGCGTAGGTCCCAAGAGTGTAGAAAAATCTTCAATGAGTAAATTAGTCAAACCATTGAAATCACCTCTGGAGAAATTAGAAGAGCAAATGAATAAAGGTGATGGATTAAATCATATTCAGAGAAATGGGAATTCTAAATTGGTACCATATGATTCAGAGTCCAGCAGTGATGAACGTTGCGACAGGGTGAGTGACGATAAGGCAAAAAAAGAAGAGTTAAAAGAGCCTTTGCGTAAACCAAAGCCGAGTCGCTGCGAGTCCCCTCAGGGTCTCATCGTGACCACAAAAGCGATGCATCATGCGTGGACAGTGTCCAAGGAGAAGAATGGTCCGCTACTGAGCCCCAGTCTCAATGGGGACACTAATAAAAAGTGAGTATAAGAGTTAAAAGAGTTTAAAATGCATACTTGCAATACATGTATTTATTTCATACATTTCAAATATCCTTTTATTAGTTTTATTTATAATCAATTGAGATGAATTTTGACTAGTTATATTTTAATATTTCGATTTCAAACTTGTGAAAAATGTGAAATTCAAATGAAATTGTATTTTCATTTTGCAAAACCAACCAAAAAGGTCCATGATCTGATGTTGAGTCTGGAACTCAATATAGTTATCCATAAAAAGAGAAGACACTTGGATTTGAGTTTAATGCTTCCTAATGACCCCGTTGGAATTAATACCCAAATCTGGATATTCTGTGGGTTATAATAAAATCGCTGAATACTCTTCGCATTCATAATATTACAGAAGCTATCCATTACTATTTACTATACTGGCAGTTGAATTTTGCAAAATATTTATAAATTATACATATGTACTGTTAAGAATAAATGTAAGAAAATACATACAGTAATTTTTAAGATTAGTCCATTTAAACACAAATTCAGTGTTTTTAGTCACCCTGATTTAAATTTATAATATAACGTTATTTGATATTTATTATGATTATTTCAGGAAAGACGATCGGCGGACGGATGAGGAGAGCCCGAACACCAGCGTGAGCAGCATGTCCCCGCTGAGCGACCGCAGCGAGGCGCCGCCCGCTCCCCCCACCGCGCCCGCCGCCCCGGCCGCCGCCCCCCCGCCCGCGCCCGCGCCCCCTGCGCCCACGTTGGCGGCCGCGGATACCACGCGCCACCTGCTGGCCAGCTCGCACCGCGGCTACGGCGCGCCCGTCGCCTCCTGGAGCGGCGCGCACAGTGCCATGTCGCGACAAGTACGAGTCTATTGTATTACACTTGCACAGTGCACATATAATACCACAGTTCACTAATACAAACATACAATCGTCTAGCTTCGGTTCATATTGAGTGCAGTGGCTAGCATGTGCGGCTGTAAATCAGGAGGTCCCGGGTTCGGGGCCTGGGGCGAGCCAAGTTTAGTTTTCGAGTCAATTATCCCCGTACCTCGGAGAGCACGTAATGCCGTCAATCCGGCGCTTTTCTTTAACCGGTCGAGTCGTATGGAGCGTACGAGAGCTGAGACGCGGGTAAGGCGCTCCGTATTGTCATACGCACTTATATAATAGTTGCAAAACTGCTTTTAGCAGAAGAAAACTAACTGTATATAAACTAACTGTAAGTTAACTGTAACTTGCCACTAGATAGCACAAAAGTGCCTTAACTTCGAAACCATTTGCCATAAAATTTGGTTATTTTTTGACAACCTTTTTACTTGATATTTTCTATTTCAGTCAAACACAATCTGTTACTATATATATAGTTATACTAAGAATATAGGTTCGCTCTCCAGGTGACACCCATCCATTTGCGATATTCAAAGTAAAAAAAATCTATTTTTTTCTTACCTTGCCATATGTTTGGGAGTGTGACAGACACTTGCCTGTTACTTCTTTACTCTTCTTACATTTTAGAGCTTCGGCAAAGGAGATTTTTAAGTACTGACAATTATTGCTCCGGGTTTCATACGTAACAGATACACCATTGCATTATATTGATATTATATTGTTAAGATTTTTAATTGTATGTATATCATTCACAGGTGTTTGAAGAAAGGCGCGATGAACGCAAACGCGCTCACGAAGCTACAGATGAAATGGACCGCGGTCGCAGTAAGAAAGTTAAAAAGTTCCACCAATACAATCGTTTCAATAATAATAGGAATGGGTATAATCCTTTCCAGGTAAGCTAATCTATTCAGATAAATAAAATTGTAGTCTGTTTGTAATGTCAAAATAACACCTTTTTACTAAATGCATATCAAATTATATACTTAGAAGAAAAATACAATTCTTAATTTTTTTGTGTCTATCTGTTTGCTCCGGCTAATCTTCGAAACGGCTGGACTGATTTTGACGGGACTTTCACTGACAGATAACTGATCTTATAAGGAGAAACTTTGAGACTTTCTTTGTTTAATATGTTAAATAATAATTATGACTCCGCTCAAAAAAATTAATAATACCTACGGACACACCTGAGCGAAGCTAGGTTAAGTTGCTAGTAAAAAATAAAATCTAAGAGCCCTGGGTTGTGATATTATGTATAATTATAATATATTTTTTCCATCATTGGCCGTTTGAATATTGAAATTAACCTTATGATAGAACTGTGTACAGTACTTCATTCTGTAACATAGTTCAAACAAATGAGCTGTAAAATAGGTATTATTTTATTTTTTTGCGAAATCTCCGGTTTATTTATGTGATGTATATGTTTGTTGATATCAATATATGATGATGTCTTAGATGAATAGGATGAGACGTTATGCATGTGTACATATTATATGTTAGTTTTAATTTTTTTTTTTTTTAGGATAAACAAAATAAATTACATTGGGGTAATAATTTCAAATACCGTAACGATCGCCGTCCTTCACATCATTTTAACAAACATCATAGCAACAAATATAAAAGATTTAACAGGTAATTCAGTTCTTAATAGCTAAGGTTTAAAAAATATGTTTCACATACTTTTCGTTTTGAATGTTCAGCCGACATATTTCTACAAAACAGATTTAAATCTAGTATTTGCAAAGTGTCTATATAGATTAAAGTGAGCTCATCCTGCGTAACCGGCTTCTAGACAGCAATACCTGTAAAATGCTTCGTTGTTTTTGCAAAATTAAATACGAAAAAAGTTTTAAAATATTTTCCTATATTTTAACTAAATGCTCTAAATAAAATACTCTAAAAGCGTGAAAAATATAAGGCAGCTCTCAAACTATAGTGCACAAATTTAGATTTCTTTTCTATTGCAAATAAATATAGACATTGGACAGTTTCATAAAAAAGAAAGATGGCGGTAGTATTTTGTTTAATTTTCTCGCATATCGATAACTTAATTGTTAAACCAGCCAACTCCACATTGCGTAAAAAATAATTTTTTGGTTCAGATTGAACGCAACAGTAATTTAGTAGGATTTTACAGTATCAAAAATAACAGTATAAGATTACGAACGGTATTTAAGATTTTTAAATATGTAGGGCACAAAAAATATTATAAAATTTTAAGTGTCTCCTGAAAAATTTGCCTTTATGGAGTTAGCCCCAATTAAGGTATCGATATATTGATGCGTGACCCATGGCAACACATAAATATACTCTCTATAAATGTTTGTTGAGACGTGTTTGTGTCGCCCGCAGGTACAGCAGCGGCCACCACTACCCGCGGCACCATTGACCCTGGCCGCTCGCGTCGCTGTGTATAGATGAATGGACTTAAAAATTATTAGTTAATTAATATAGCCGACTTAAGTTAACCTTAGTTTAAGCATTGTGTTATGAATTTTAATATAGTGATGAGATAATGACGTTTGATACCACTACCGCCATAGTTAAGTGTACGGAGGTGATTACAATTGAATGTACTGCCAGCCAGCTTATATGTAGGAGGAGGACAATGTTTAATTTGCGATTTCTTGTATTTTAATATAAGATTGTAGTAAAAATATACTTATGAATATTTAAGGCTATATTCACCGTCGCCGGGTTTGTGTCACCCTTAAATATATTTATCAAATGTTAATTCAAATCTGTATTGTAAACTATATTATGGTCTTAAAAGTTTAAATGCATATTATTATTATTATTCAGTAATTATTATTCTTCTGTGAACTTTAAAAACTGATAATAAGACATACAGGTAATGGTTATATGAAATACATTACTATAATATTGTTATATTTCCTTTTTTCTCGATAATTGATAAAAAAAATATATTAGAATGTACATCTTTTTACATCAACCTAATTAAAAATTATATTTATTACTGCCCGCAGTATTAGCTTGCGACTTGAGCTTTAACCGCGAGTCTTGTCGAGTCAGATTTCTTCATTTCATAGTTCAATAACATTTTAAATAAGACTGTATTGATTTCTGTAGACATAAAATCTATATTCAAATTTATTTTAACGTATATCAAAATATATTATCTAAATTTAGCTACGGTTTTGTTGTAATAGCCGAGAGTCGAGTTGCATGCGATGAGTCTACTAGATATGTAAACAATATTTGTATGTGAATAGTGGAAGTGAATTTGATTATTTCCATGTATTTCAGTACAATGGATAAACATTTTTGTAACTATCCTCAGTGAGTTGTGCGTACGTTATATTATTAAGTGACACGATGTCGTCAAAATTAGTGAAGTTCATTGACATATAATATTTATGTAAATAAAGTAACCTCAATTTATCCTGTAAATACTGACATGGGCTTATATTTTTGTAAAATAAATCACATATAAACTTGATGCATAATTATAACATAACAAAAAATAGCAAAATTGTAAGTAAACATGCTTAACGTTTAAAGTTAAAATGTTATAGATAGGTAATGTTGAAAGATTATTTAGTGGGGCTTCATTAGTGACTATATTTTGCTAGGATTCGATTGCTCTCGTCGCAGGTGCATTTGTTGCAAAAGAATCGGTTTAAGTGTATATAAAGTTTTATTTAGCGAGAGTGTGGAGCAATTTGTTTATGGCGGACGGGGAACCACAGGTGCGTTGTAGGAGTCGTTTATATGACGATCTATGGACTATAAGTTATTGGGTTCAGTAAAGTGTCGTTAGAGATTCATTTGAATCTTAAACATTTATTTTATCATCTTATTTTAGTAACTTTCTAAGCTTTTTTATTAGTACTCGTCGAGATGCCTATTTATACTAATTCAACTTTCTAGATTGGCGCTTTTATAGTCTTTAAATTGATAAAATAAAACGTTTTTTTTTTAATTAAAATGTATGTTATATCTATTTCAAACTTTTTAAATGTATAAATTTCAAGTATCACTCATTTCTATTATTATGTAAACAACTTTTGCTTACAAGGCTTGCACATATGTATATTGTATATACACGCACCTGTGCGGTGCGGAGGTGCGCGCGCACGACACTCCTCGGTGTCAGATGGAGAGTAACTGGTGATAAACTATATTCTTTCATTATGTAGCATTTATAATATTTATTTTTATAAATATTTCACTGGATTTAATAGATACCATGTTTTATTTTTACTTAAGTTGATGAATACTTATCTAGTTAGAGTCTTAGTTTGTTAAGTAAGCTGTTATTTTTGTTACATAAAAGTCAGACCCTGTTTCAGTTAGGAGGCTTAGGAGAACGCCTTAAATTAAAAATATCGTACATTTAACAGTATACTGCAACGTGTTGTGCACTCTCAAGACACAGCTAAGTATATTGTTAACTATGTGTGTAATCTTTGACATTTTATGTTATTCGTTCAATGCAAATAATTTTGCTAAATTGGTATTTTACTAAAACAAAATCTTATTTGTCAAGTTAGTCTTTTATTTTACCCTTAACTTTTGATCTACGACAAATATTAAGCAATGTTAGCGATTTACATTCGCTTCGCTATTCCGCGTCAGTAGACGACGGTACCGTGCGGTAGACTACGAATAGTTAGATGTGCAACTCCAAGCTACTTCCAAGCTATGTATTATGGTCTGTAAATGTTGTTTCATCCAAAGATGTCCGGCTGGCTTAGCGTGAAAGAGCGCACATATACGTAGCGTATACTCACACACATGAGTATTAGAAACTTTCGCCTTTTTAATAGCCTTCCGATTATTATGAAAAAAAATTGGAAAATATGAAATGATGCAATATAAATCAAAGCTAAATAGAATTTTCGTACACAATTGGTCAAGTCAAAACTTTATGAAACTTTTTTTCTTTTTCAACATTTGGAAATGTATTTAGTCACGTGTGGAACTTGCCGACAAAGCCAATACTACCCACTGAAAGTTAAAACCTAACGGAACCTAGCTTAAACTTTAAGCGGAACCTAAGTCTAACAGAAATTGTACAATTGTTAAAGTACAAGGCACACTAATTTATTTCACGTAGTTTTACCCTGTCTTCGTTCAAATTATAATAGAAACTCAGTCTCTCATAGACTGCCTCAACAGTATAATAAATATTTCTGTCATGTTGATCCATTTAGCAATTCTAGAGAAAGCTTTAAAATAGCTATCATTAGCGTAATAAGCTATCACACACAAACAAGCGCACACGCACACACACTCAACATAAATCATAGAGCAATAAATGGCCGTATCCCTAATACGCTGTTTTTTTCCTTTTGTTTGTTTTGTTTTTGTAATTTATTTCTTTTTTTTAATATATGTAAATTTAGTCTACCCATCTATTTGCGTGCATAAATAATGAAAATCCGAAATAAGCTTATATGAGGACTCTACTGCTAAGGTTTTTTATATACTTTTTATCTCTGTAAGTAGCTGTGGATTTTAGTTTGAATTAATTAATATATTTTTTTATATCTTGAAACAATGTCAAAATTTACTATGCTATACTCGTAATGGTACACGTCTAGTTGATTCGATCAAAAGTTATTGCCGTTCAGAAATTTTCAAAATTAGTTTCGGGGAACAGGGATCGCCTTGCTCAGTTTCAACCATTTTGATCTGATCCAGTTTACATTTAGGTTGCAACAGCTATCCTACCTACCGCCTGGCTTACGGGCTTGCCGCTTGCAGGTGGGGGTCCCCGCAGCTGCTGGGGCCTGGCTGACAAACGCCACCCCGACTATATGGCCAGCGCGACGCTGCTTTTAGAGACTAGTAGTTATAGGTATTAATAAATCTACCTGGGCCATCGAGCTGCGCTCGGAGTTTTTGGTTATAAAGTACAATTTTCTTTCAAAAAAAACTAAAAACTTGAATACAAAACAAAAATAAATTATACCTTTGTATCCGACTGGGAATCGAACCCGGATTGGACACCTATGATTGTCAATCTTGCGTCTTTTTTAAAGAAAAAACTAAAAACTTGAATAAATATAAAAAAAAATAAAAGTAAAAACTTTGTATGCGACCGAGATTCGAACCTGGACACTTACTCCGTCTAGAGGGTTTTGGAAATTTGATAAGCGATTGTTTTGATTTAGACTTTTATAGTAATGTTCGCTTTGCTTTATTTTCGATTTTCTTTCAACAATACGTTAGTTTTTCCTAAATAGAAAGGGATAGAAAGATGTGACCAAAATAAAAATAACTTTTTATAAAAAAATATTTTATAAAAGGAGTACGTACCATGACGTGTACAATACAGAGTGTTAAATTACTTTGATTTCACACCTTACTTATTTAGACGATGTAATTGGCCACTAGCAATGACAAATTATTTTCATTTAATATTTAATAAATACTAACAAGTTTGCCAGTGTTTATTAATAAGTTATGACAAAGCCAAACATTTTATCATTTTCTGTAGGCGTTCTGTAAGTAACTGTGGAAATCACTGACGTTATTATAAAGTTCTATCTATAGCATACCTATTTCTAAATATAAATGCAATGACTGCTGAAGTTTTTTTTTTAGAATAACAATAGGATAAACGCCAAAAATATTTACAAAAGGTTTTATAACATTAAAGATTCCTGTAAAGCGACCTCTCGGCTGACATTAGATCAGTTAATTATTCATTATTAACTATCAGGTCAAAATACAGACTCGAAAACAAAAACTGAATTCGAATAGAAGATATTAATACGAAAAATGGCCAATCTAAAGTCCGCATTTTGTTTATCTCCATTTATCACATTTTATACACCACTTCATTATTCACAACAACTTAACCATATATGTTTAATAAAATTGTACAATTCAATGGTTTTTTTCTTACAAACTAGTAATTCAACAAACATTAATTCATAGTAAAGCTGATTAATTGTCGTATATAACTATTATTTTTATTGTAGATGGCCATATTGATAGGAAGCCAAATTGTGCACCGTTTTCATTGAAACGAAATCTATCTGTCACTTAATTATAATATGTTTCAAGACCTCTTCGTGAGAGATCGATTTTGAGGAAGCAGGTTGACACATTCGGCTGGGGAGTGTTATGTACAGCTTTCTTCTTTGGGCATCATCGATTAGTGTCTGCCATTGATTGTTTTTCTGTAAAACAATGATTTATTAAAATTCCTACTCAAGCTTTGATATAAGAATTTTTTAGATATGAGAGTAATTAAAATAATAATTAAAGCGGGAAAGCTTCCATGTGGTTTTAAGTGGGTAGTACTGTTTTTGGAACCGGCTAATCACCACATAACCACCTATACGTATGAGTTTACTTATGTTGTATGCATTTCCTAAAGTTACAAAAAAGGGCCTGTATATGTGTAGGTGGTATGCTTATATTAATTTTTTAACATTAAAAAAGTATACATGAATATGGTCCGCATAAGCGCATTTGCCAATGCATAAAAAAGAAACAAAACACGAGTGGTCACCACAAGCGCGAGCGGGTTGAGGCAGACGAACAGCGAGTGGCGCGCGCGCGTCAGCATGACGTTCATGCGGCCGGTGTCGGTGAGGAAGCCCACGCCGCTGCTGCGCGCCAGCGACACCACCACCACGTCGCGCTCCTGCCCCTGGAAGCTGTCCACCGTGTTCACCTCCACCGGCGGCTCCGACCTAGCACCGGACATGCGACACTTGTATTATATGTATGTATAGGCGACACGTGTGTGTGTGTGTGTGTGTTTTTTTTTAATTTTATCTTGTAGAAAATAGTGTTACAGATAAAAATAACTTCATTTTTTTATTGAAACAATTGGTGAAAAAAGATTGGTTAAATATATAAATAAACATTGCTCGACTATAAAAGAACATCGGTCAAAGAAGATGTTATAAATTTATTCAATATAACTGTCTACGTAGGACATATGGACACATCAATCACAGCGCACCATTTGTATCCATACTATATATTGATACCAATAGGAGCTATATATTGAAAATCTAAAAAAAAAACTTCTGTCAAGAAATCCAGAACCTCAACTAAAATGCCCTCTAACATTAATATATAGCAGGTAATTTTTTAATATTGTATTTTTATAAATGCGTCGTGTTCGGATGTGTTCACAGTGTTCATGTTGGAAACTGAACTTGAAACACAAGTTGTTAACTTAGTTCAGGTAGGTTTCCAATTTGTATTGTACCTGTTATTATTCATTTTGTAATTATTAGGTACATAACTTTGTAAAAGTATTTAAATACAAAAAAAATATTATTATTATATATGGCGAGACACTAACTGGTCCTGCAGGCGGCGCAGACAGTCGCGCAGCAGGTCGCGGTGCGCGCTGTAGGGCGTGAGCACGGCCAGCGCCAGGCCGCGCGCGCGCGCCTCCCGCGCCAGCGCCGCCGCCACGCGCGCCACGCCCCACGCCTCCGTCTCGTTCGCGTACGTCGCACCTGGATGAATTAATGAATAATCTTTAATGTACATCCAAAAACAAAAAGAGAAAAGAAAATCTATACAGATAAATAACATTGAAGTGTCTGTTTGTAATGTCAAAATAACAGCGTTTTACTAAATGCATATGAAATGATTTATTTATTTATTAGACCACCAACAAAGTACAAACTAAACACATTATAACATACATGGAAAATAAAACATATAGAGTAGTACCTTAATTATAGGTGATAACGACATTTAAAAAGTAGTATAATGTAAAGGCAAAACAAGATTTAGATATGGTACTTTAAGAGAACACATTTTTTAAATTTTTGTTCATCTGTCTGTTTGTTCCGGATAATCTCTAAAACGGCTGTACTGATTTTGACGGGACTTTCACTGGAACATAGCTAATGTTATAGGGAGTAACATAGGCAACATTTATTTTAAAAAAAGAATTAGGGTTCCGCTAAAAAAAAAAATAAACGTACCCAAGGATAAACCCGTGCGAAGCGAGGGTGAGTTGTTAGTATATAAAATATAGAACAAGGTGCTAGAGGCGGATTTATCGCTAAAAGAGCGATTTCTTCCAGGCAACATTTAGTTGTGTAGGAAATAGTACTAAGATAGACGGGGTGTGAACAATAAATAAGGAGACAGTAGAAATGGATCGAGATCCCGCTGCAAGTTTGCTAGGTTCATAGCGTATTTAATCGAAATCATTTTTTATATACAATAATAAAAGGGACAATACGTTTTAACCGGGGTGCCTATTAAAAAGTGCTCGCTAGTATGTTTAATTAACTAAATAATAGTTGACTTTTTGGAACAAAAACGATGCATTTGTTATTACAATGAATTATACTCCACTTCACAGAACTATATGTAGAGATCTTGAAAAATGATAGCTGCCGTTGCGCATCTGGCCGCAACCTGTGATGTGGTTAAGGAAAAACATCGTGGGGAAACCTGCATGTCTGAGATAACCTAGCATGTTTTCAAAAGGCATATGAAGTCCACCAACCCGCACTCGGCCAGCGTGGTGGACTATGGCCTGATCCCTCTCGTATCGAAGGGAGGCCCGTGCCCAGCAGTGGGATGTTAAAAAGGGCTGAATAGACATAGACACAACTTGTCGCTAACAGTCGGCTCACTGACCCTGTCCCCTGTCCCCGCTGGCGATGCCGAGCAGCGCGTAGGGCGGCAGCGCGAGGCCGGGCGGCGCGGCGGGCGGCGCGGAGCGCACGCGGCCGCCGTAGAAGGCGCGGTTGGGGTAGTCGGCGATGGCGGCGTGCATGCGGTACTGGCGGTCCAGCAGCACGGCGCCGCCGCCCCACGCCTCCGCGCACGAGCTCAGCCGCGAGAACAGGCTCTCGCCGAGGCCGTGCTGCTTTGCTCGCTGCGTAGTGTATGGATATGTATTAAGGTGGAGCGAAAAAAACATTTTTTTTACCTTTTAAAATTCGAAAAAAATATATAGTAAGTATGGAAGGCCCACTACCGGACCGGGCGTAAAAGTTGCATGATGGATAGAAGTTTATAATAGAAAATTTTCAAATAAACGAAGGATACATAAAATTTTAAAAACACAATTCAAAACTTAAAATTAAAAAATCTCAACTAAAAACATATAAACAATTTTTTTAATTTTTTTTTGTAAAGGTCATCCATAAACAAACATTTTGAAATGAAATTGAATTTCGACCATTATTAAGAAAGATATGAGCAAAAAAAAACAAAATAAAGAGCGATTTCGAACCAGTAATCGAAAAAATCTCAAAATTTACCAGGAAGCATGTTTTGCGAGGTACTTAAAAAATATCAAAATATTAAGAAAATCTAAAATATATTTTTTACAAAACGTCCCGATTTGGCGTGGAATGTCCCATATATTCATACCAAATTTCATTTCGATACGACAACTACAAGTAGGGTAATTTTAGCCCTTTAACTACCAAAATTTGTTTAAATTGTTAGTTACAAGTGAAGCTGATAAAAGAAATAATAATAGAAAAACGTGTTAAAAGAGAGCGTTACCTGCGAGCAGATGAAGCCGGGCAGCTGCTGCGGGTCGCCGATGAGCGTGAGGCGCGTGACGTCCAGCGTGAGCGGGATCAGCGCCTCGGGCTCGATGGCCTGCCCCGCCTCGTCCACGATGCACAGCGCTATGCGACCTTTGAGACTGGAATCCACGTTATATTTAAATAGACGTTAATATCTCAATAACCGTTTCAACTGTATTTATTAAACTGGGAATTTTAGTTAATCCAAGGGGATTTAATAAATTAACCAAATTTCATGAGTTTATATGAAATAGATTTTGAGTTATTACGAGGTGAAAAGTGGCTCCAAATGGTTCGTGTAAATATACACACGGTGCTGCGTCGCCGGTACCTTTGACTTGAACTTGGCTGTACCCGCTACCGCGTGTCTTGATGTAATATCAACATTTTCCTTCACCGTAAGACAACTGGTAATTGCGTTGGAAATGAATGAACATCAAAATATCAGAGGTGCGAGACCCAGGATTGAACTCGTTTCATTCGGTTTCTCAAGCAAGCGCTTTACGAGTGTCAGGCAGTGGGCCTTTTATTACCACTTTGCTAATAAACAAAATAAAACAAGATTTCAATGTCACTTTAATTATAATTATTGGACATGTTTACATGAGACACCTACATATAAAATTTCAACAATGTACCTTCGAGTTGTCAAATAAAATGGCTGTGAAATACGGACAGACGGACATGACGAAATTTTATAATTTCATAAGGGTTACGTTTTAGCCTTTTGGCTTCTACTGAACCCTAAAGAAGGAATCATTTACATATCATTGGTTGATAATTATTGAAGATATCGCTTAACATACAGAAAAAAAGGCAGTGGTAGCCCAGTGGTAGCGCGCTCGCTTGGGAAACCGAGTGAAGTGGGTTCAAATCCCGGGTCTCGCACCTCTGATATTTTCATGTGCGAATCATTTCTAACATGATTACCACTTGTCTTACGGTGAAGGAAATCATCGTGAGGAAACCTGCATGTTTGAGAGAACCTAGCAAGTTTTCGAAAGATATGTGAAGTCCGCCAACCCGCACTTGGCCAGCGTGGTGGACTATGGCCTGATCCCCCTCTTAATGAAGGGAGGCCCGTGCCCAGCAGTGGGACGTTAAAAAAAAGGGCTGAATACATACAGAAAAAAAACATAAGCACACTCGAGTATGACGTCATTTTACCTCACTGAGATTGTAGCACCACAAAATATCACTCACTTGTTGCTAAATCACACTCACTTGTTCCTAGTTGTTTTACGTGCAACTGCTTGTTTTTTATTTATTGGTAGTGTTATTTTTAATTTAAATTTAACCCTTCAGGTAGTGTGACGTCACGAAATTATTCTTGCAAGCGCAACTTTAAAGTTTCATAACTTTCTCATTTGTTGAGATACCAATACAAATTTTCATCCCCTTAAGGGATGATTTCCGGGATAAAAAGTATCCTATGTCCTTTCCAGGGTCTCTGGTTCTTACCAAATTTCATCTAAATCGTTTCAGTAGATCCAGATTACCCCCCTATATCGCCACAAACTCACAAACTTACAAACTTTACCTCTTTATAATATTAGTATAGATTAATAAAAAAAATTGGAAACTTCTCCATTACACTCTCATCTTGTGGTTGTGCGCGCTGGCGAGCGTGGTGACGACGATGTCGGCGCACTCTATGATGCGGCGCTCGGCCTGCACCAGCTGCTCCGGGCGCACCTCCTCGCCGCCCCCTCCGGATCCACCGGCACCACGGATCTGGGGGTTTGTTTATATATTATACTAATATAGGTAGATTTAATTTATTTTGGGAAACCCTAATTCTTTTTCTAAAATAAAAGTAGCCAAAATCGGTCCAGCCGTTTTGGAGATTAGCCGGAACAAACAGACAGACAGACAGACAAAAATGTAAAAAATTGTGTATTTATTATAAGTACTGTATATAATTTAAAACGCATTTAATAAAAAGCTTTTATTTTTACATTACAAACATATACTTCAATTTTATTTATTTGTATAGATGTTGGCACATTAACACACAGCACCATCTAGTTCCATGGTAAGCTACGAAGTTTGTGTTATAGATACCAGATAGTTGACTACATATATTATAACTTTAAATACACACATATTATAAATATAAGCACCCATGACTGGAGTATAAACAATCGTGCTCATGACACAAATGAATAACCCTAGCGGGACTCGAACCCGCGACCGCTGGCACAGCAAGTACGGTCACTACAAACTGAGCCAAACGTGTCATCAAACAAATAAAAAATACCCTATATTGCAATTACAATAATGTTACATAGAAAATTACCACGTACTTATGAGTAGTGCTATAAAGTGTAATAGAAATGGAACATGCAGACAAACAGTTGTATATATGAACAAGAAACATAAGTGAAGAAATAAATAAATGTGATATATATACACGAAAAGATATAAATTTCTTCTAACTGCATAACCAGGCCTCGGAATTTAAGAATTTTTTGTGTCTTGGTCGAGGACATGTATATTGTATAGCCGTGTTATGGCTCAAATATTATTAAAATTGGATATATCAACATTATTTACTTGTCAGCTGCACGTAAACTACTTCAGGTATTATGCTAAAAAATAAAAATATAATTGTCCACGGAAATCCTTATGACCAGTTGTTTACAAAGTCGGGGTTGCTGTTAGGGTTGCCAACCATACTATAATATATAGTATTGTACTATATTTAGGGTCTGCATACTATAAATTGTTGAAAAAATATATAGTAGGCAAAAATACTATATTTTCCACACCGAAATCTAACAAATAAATTCAAAATGACGAGATGAAAGAAACAGAAGTAGCATCTCATTAATAAAAAATGAGCTTTTGATTTACATTAATTTAAAAATTGAATGTAATACAGCATAATATGATACTTTTATTTTAAACAAAAAATTGTTGAAAAATACAAGAAGTGCAAAAAAATATAGTTTAAAAAAAATAAAAAATAATAACAAATGTATATTTGTCTAATTTTTGCTAAAAAACTATATTTTTTGAAGTATACTATATTTTTTATAGCTTATTTTGAAAAATACTAAATTTCGCCGAAGAAATAAAAATATACGTTGGCAACCCTAGTTGCTATTAAATATAGCATTGTAACATACTAGTGATATTCTGTTGACGAGATGCGACATCCGTTCACGGCAGTAGGCGATTCGAACGCGATCCTTTGCTTCTCGTTCGGCCGTCTTCCACATGTTTATCTTGGCCTCTAAATGTGAAATCTGATGATGGAAACGACACAATTTAAATAAAAATGAAAATAGGATAGATATTTTTTTAATGATACAGTAATACACGGATAAATAACGTTTTAATTTATTATATGTTGAAAAAAAAAACTTAAAAAGTAGAATTTTATTTTATTCAACACAAATTCCATTCGATACAAAAGAGTACAAACATTAATACATCTGTTGAAAAAAATATGGATGTACTATGCTGACTGCCTCGGTTGTGTAGTGTGCCTAGCATGTACGACTGCACATCTGGAGGTCCTGGGTTCGAGTTCTGGATTGGGCCAAGTATAATTATTGAGTCTTTCTGTTTAATAAGTCTCAGTAACAGCCCGAAGTTGGGAAGTTGGCGGTGTTTCAACGCCGTGCCTCGGAGAACACGTAAAGCCGTCGCTCCTAAGCATTAGCTCTCACCGGTCGTGTTTCGTGTCGTCCCACCGGAGTATGAGAGTGACAGGAATAGGAGTGCACTTGTGTCTGCGCGTAAACGCGCGCTACATTATATTATCTCCTACGCAGATCTCAGTGAGGTTAGCCGCCGTGGCCGAAATCGGTCGGGAGTACATTATTATTTTTTTTTATTTATTTATTTTAGGGAAACAAACAGTACGATATTACATAAATAATTAATAATAATAGATGACACATAAACCAATGAAGTTTCCACAAATTAAACAATACACTTAAGAAGCAGACCATAATGAAAATGAGAAAAACAAAAAGCTAAACAATAAACTAAAAATTACAAAATGAAACACTGCTTAACATGAATAATAAAAAAAAATATAAAAAATAAGGAAAAACATAAAATACATAAAACACAAAATCAACAATTAAACAATAGGTTATTAATACTATTTTTGAAACTTAAAAGTGAATTTGAAAATATGTCTATACTTGTAAATTTTTTATTATACTCATTACATGAGCGAAGTATAAAGGTATTTCGAGCATATTTCGTTCTAGTACATGGCAGGTCAAAATTATCGTGGTTACGCTTACTAAATTTTGGAACCTTAAAATTCAAACAGCTTAATAAGAAAGGGCTATCAATGAAATTATTTAAGAGTTTGAAAAGAAAAATTTGATCTCTAAGCATGCGTCGCATCTCTAAAGGTCTAATATTAGGTGGACATTGATCATGACTATAAAATTTATATTGAGTATATTTTATAAATTTAAGTTGTATTTTTTCTATACAATTTATATATACCTTATATTGTGGGTTCCAGATTGATGAACCAAATTCCAATATCGAGCGTACTAGACTATTATACAGAATAATAAGCGTATAATAATGTTTAAACTCTTTACCAACTCTTAGTATAAAACCAAGCATTCGATAGGCCTTAGCAACAATATAGTCTACGTGAAACTTAAATGTTAATTTGTTATCCAGGTAAATACCCAAGTCTCTCACCTGAGACACACGGGTAATAATTTCGCCTTTTAGGTGATAATCATAAATAGTCGGCGATATTTTACGAGTAAAAGAAATAGTGCTACACTTTTTAACATTCAGAGAAAGAAAATTCTCGTTACAATATTTGCATAATTTGTTAAGATCTTCTTGTAATAGTAAACAATCAGATAGTTTAGAAATCTTTCTAAAGATTTTCATGTCATCTGCAAATAATAGTACAGAAGAATGATCAAATATTTGGCAAATATCATTTATAAAAATATTAAATAGCAAGGGGCCAAGGTGAGAGCCCTGTGGTACACCAGAAGGAACGGGAACGAGCGTTGAACAAAAACCCTTTATTGTCACAGCCTGACTTCTGTTGTGGAGATAAGAGCTTAACCACCGAAGAAGATCACCGTGAATACCCACTTGCTCTAATTTACTCAATAGGATAGTATGAGAAATTTTGTCGAAAGCCTTAGAGAAATCGGTGTAGATGACGTCTACTTGAGCACCAGCGTCCATGTCTTTCACCACACGATGAACTAGTTCACACACATTTGTTTCAACAGACCTTTTACTAACAAAACCGTGTTGCTCACTAATCAAAATACCTCTTACAATTGGAAAGATACTGTCATATAATTTTTTCGAACATTTTAGCTATAGTACATAATTTAGAGATGGGCCTATAGTTCTGAACATTATGTTTGTCTCCCGACTTAAAAATAGGTACAACGAACGAGCGCTTCCAAACAAGTGGCATTGTGCCTGAACGTAATGATTTATTAAAAAGAAGCGAAATTGGATAACCTAAGGATTTGTAACATTGCTTTAAAAATACCGGAGGAATCTCATCCGGTCCACAGCCCTTATTGATATCTAGTGATTTCAGATATTTTTTTAACGGTCGATACTGACAAATCTATATGGCCAATATTTAAATTACAATTTTTACAATCTGTGTATGTTTTAAGTGATTGTGTAGTGGGTTGAGTTTCGTAAACCGATTTAAAATATTCATTAAAAAGTGAGCATTATAGAGAATGCAGCCTGCGTGGGCTACTTAGATAACTGTAAAATTCCTAGATATGCATATATGTAGGTTGGTTAAGTGATAGTAGCGCGACTGCTTCGGTGTATAGTGGCAAGTAGAGCTACAAATTCAGAGGCCCTGGGTTCGAATTCCGGGTCGGACCAAGTTTAACGACGAGTTTTTTTTGTTAAGAAACTCAATAGCAGCGCCTTATCTCTCTGATGGTTATATCTGCGCGTACATTTGTACACTATAATAACTCTTGCGCAGTCACCTAGTCTCAGTGAAATTCGTTGCCGTGGCCGAAATTGGTCATTATTATTAGGAGTGTAACCTCTTCGTCGAGCGCGGGCTGTACGTCGTGCGCGCGCGCCGCGTCGCGCTGCGCCAGCTGCTGCGAGCTGACGTCGCGCGCGCGCGCGTGCATGGCCTCCAGCCGCCCCACGCGCACCATGCGGAACCGCTGATCTGTTGCACATTGCGATTGTTCGTCTACACTCTTGACACTTTGCCACAATAAATAAATATGTTGGGACATTAACACACAGCACCGTCTAGTTCCATGGTAAGCTACGACGCTTGTGTTATGGACACCAGATAATTGATACACTACATATAAATAACTTTAAATACGTATGTATACAGTATAATTATAAACACCCACGACTGGAGTACAAACATTCGTGCTCATCACACAAATGAATGCCCCCAGCGGGAATTTTAAATAAATATTTATACACTTGGCGATCGTCTTTTGATTTTTGACGAAATCGCTATCAAATGCCAAAAAAAAAACTTTTTCGTGTAGGTTTCGAAGTTAAAACATGCCATTTCATGGCAAATAAAAAAAAATCAATAGTTATAGAAGTTATATTCCCGACATATCTAAAGCCGTTTCCCATTTGTTATATAAAAGTATGTTATTGGGTACTTCTGTGAAGACTATTACAAAGAGAAACTGCTCGAAAGTGGCAAATTATCAGTATTATAAGCTCGTTGTGCGGCCCACTAGATTATGTAGAAGCATTGTAATAATGTGACACTGTCACCGTGGCCAAACAATTATTTATATTATTGTAATATAATGTTGATAATACACCAGTTTGTGCGTTTTTGCTGCATTTGACACTGAAATTCTACGTTTATTGCAATTCATGAATTTTGATATCAATGACTCACATAATGATTAATACATCGGTATTATATTAATCCTATTATTAATATTATAAATGCGAAAGTTTGAATGGATGTTTGTCACTCAATCACGCAAGAACGGCTGAACGAATCTGCATGTTGGGCACAGAGATAGATTATAGTCTGGAATAGCACACAGCTTACTTCTTTTGTTTCTCACTAGGGACGAACCCGAGTCGCTAGTTACCTATATATGTAACTTAATACTATAAGGAATCAGTACAGGATAGTAACAATTACCTTTGGGCAAGCTTTGCCTGATGTTTAACAATCTAATGACTAGTTCATCCACCGCTGCGTTGCTCGTAGCACAAATTAAAATTTTTCCTCTATTTTGTTTTCTTTCATTCGTAGCGTTATAAAAGTACGTCATAACGATGGCACAAATAACACTGGATTTTCCTGAAAAATTAAGGGAAATAAAAAATTCACAACATTAAAACCACAAACATTTTTTTCCTTTTTAGGGCTCCACAGCCAACAAGGAACAATTATAGTTTCGTCATGTCCATCCATCCGTCTGTCTGCAGCTTATTCTTATTTTAATAACCAAATAATACATTAACTAAATATTTTAACAGTCTATATAGCATTCGTATGACAATTACCTGTCCCTGGAGGCCCCTGGACCATTTGTATGCGCGGTTGGTCCCCGAGTGCAGCAGACACTGAGCTAGCGACAGCCAACTTCTGACTTGAATTAAGAGTCTTAGTCCACTGTAGAAAATTAAATAATATATGGTAAATAAAATATTAATTCATATTACTTACTAAAAAGGCAAAAACGGACCGTTATGTTCGTGTGTCTATATATCAGAGTAATGTTACTTAGAGACGGTCTCATGTAAAACGTTACACAATTCTGTAGTCAAATTGCAAAAAATCAAACTATAGGGCTGGCTCTTCATTCTACACGTAATGATGTAACTAAAGGATGAAAAAAAATTGAGTCCGCATAAATGTGAAAAGCATAGGTCGTTCCATATGAAATTGGCGTTTTATTTGCAAAAAGCCAAGAAATTTAATTGAAGCCAAGAAACGCACTGTGAGCCCGCTGCAACGCCATGGTTGTTGTGGTCTGCTTCGGCAGATCTTGCGACACCTCATTAAGACGGTAGAGGTTCCGTTTGGTTTTAGTGGGTTTAACTGGCTTTGCCGCTGAGTCCCACACCTCGTGCTTAAATGCATTTACCAACGTTAAAAAAAAAGATTTGGCCGATTCTCCTGGGTTCAATAATTGTGATGAGCGTTTCCCATTATTGTGAAGGTTGAGTAATGTAACAGAGCACTCGTGGTTGTTGGTGGGATTCACTCAATTCATGCAGAACCCATTCTCACATTATATAAAGCTCAAGTCCGATCATGCATGGAGTATTGCAATCACCTTTGGGATGGCTCTGCAAAATACCAACTTGCCGCTCTTGACTCGGTGGAACGCAGAGCTAAAAAGCTAATCGGCGACGAAAAGCTTGTGAAAACTAAGCTTCACAGCTTAGCACACCGTCGCCAAGTTGCTTATCTATCGGTTTTCTACAGACTGTACTTCGGGGAGTGTGCCCACGAGCTCCACAGTCTCATACCGCCATCGCCATTCTTCTATCGGAACACCAGACGTACTGCAGGATACCATCCTTTCTTGGTTGACATTCCGACCACTCGCACTAAGCGCTATTCATCATCTTTTATAATGCGCACAGCCAAGAAGTGGAATGCCCTGCGTGCGTCTGTTTTTCCGAGTATGTACAACCTGAATCTATTTAAGGTGCGTGTTAACAGGCTTCTCCTGGGCAAAATCGCTAGATCGTAGACCTTATCTCTCCCTTCGAGCTAAGATGAAGGTCAAGAGTGAGCCCATTTCTAATTTAAAAAAAAATAGGGAATATGCATTATTTTTTTATATATAATAGCTTACATCGTTATAATTATAAAAAAACAATAAATCCAGCTCCAAAATACTAAAATTCAGTGTATAATTTTTTTTTAATATCATACTGTTACGGATACTTTAAACGCTCGCCATTTCGCGCGCTTGGCGTGACGTCATAGCACGATGTACAAAAAAATGATGACTTAATTTGTAAGCGACAAAATCGCTAATCGCTCTGTTATGATTATACTTTGATGGCATATTTGGTCTGACCAATGGCGTTGCGTTTCAACAACTTTAATTTGCCACCTGTTTTTACACTTTTTAATAATTATTTTCTTAATCAAAAAGGAATTACATTAAAAAATATTAATACAGGCTTAATTCAAAAGCAATAAAGATTATAAAAAAAAATATTCCAACTTTCTTTTAATCACATGCATATTCCCTATTATTATCTGATTACAACAAAACATACTACTGCAGTATTCGGTATTCGGCCGAATAGCATAAAACTAGCCGAATAGGCTGAATACCGAATAGTAGCCGAATATTCGTTGCTAGTCTACTACTTATTATATAATTAGAAAATAGTTTCTCTATATAATTAAATTATTGATTATCTGGGCATGCGATTGTGAGAGGATCACAATATTGAACAGTTAAAATAAATTTTTGTCTGTTTGCACCCACAAATCTACGGAACGGCCGAATTGATATTAACGGGACATTTACTAACTACTTTGGAAGAAAGCACGTTCACGCCGGGTAGAGGAAAGAAATCGATTTTAATAGGACTTTCAAAAGAAAATAGTGGTCTCAGTCCAAAGTAGCGTGTAGTTTTAACCCGGTCATGTAAAGAGTTCCCGCGACATGAGTGATTTAGGATTTTTTTACAAATAATTAAATATGTATGGACATTAACACACAGCACCATCTAGTTCCATGAAAGCTACGAGGCTTGTGTTATGGATACCAGATAGTTTATACACTAAGCATATATAACTCTAAATACACACATATTATAAATATAAACAGCCATGACTAGAGTACAAACATTCGTGCTCATCACAAATGAATCCCTAGTGGAACGCGAACCCGCGATTGAGGCAAATGTGTACTCAAAATAAACAAATAACATTTTTATATAATATGTATTATAGTACATTTAAAATAAATTGACTAGAATAACAAATATACCTGTATTTTTATATCGTCTGGGTTTGTAATGTTATCATGGGAGAAATGATATGGCTGAGGTCTTAATATGGCGTCACTCAAAGGAGACCCCGCCAAGTATTCCATTGCATCGAATAACATTAACTCCTTATTGATATAAGCTATGGTTCGTCCTATCATGACTTCACCACGTTTTAAATCTTTTATTTTATTAGTAAAAGTAGTATAAAGTGATAAACTGAAAAATGAATTTTTATTATCTGAAAACAAAAATTTTTTTTGATTAAAGTTGCCATAATCAAGATGGACATATATTTTTTTTAAATGATATTGGTAAGTTGAAAAAATTATTTAAAAAAGAAGAGATGATTTGACAATAATAGAATTGTCTTTTTAGTGAAAAAATTACAAAAAAAAAGATTCCAGTATGATTTCCAGAAAAAGTTATCTAACTAACTGATTTCCGAATTCTCTTGTCTCTATGATCCTTTACGGACATTAATAAAATTGATACTTACTTGGGGGAGACGGAAGGCATCGGACATTGTGAACGAAGAAAAATCTGCGGTTTATTTTATCTGCTGGTCCAAATTCCAGAATCATAATTTCACCAACTCTTGGCACGTTTTTAACTTCAGATGTCAATAAGGAAACTGAAATATTATTTATATTCAATACTTTTACAAACAATGTGGATTCTATTTATATTTTTCCTTAATGTGAAAAAAAATTGTACAAGATAAAGATATATATTATTCTCATTTTTTTAAGTTTATTATTCTTTAACAAATCCAGGTAAATTTCTAAGAAATTTATTATAATTCTAAGAAATCTATTGTTAACTGACACGGCATCGCCAGACTGCCCGTGACTACGGTTGGTGCAACCCAGTCGAAACGTCGGGAATGAGGTATTTAGCCATTTACGAAATCACGTGTTTGAGTCTTGTAATGTCATTATTATACAATAATATGGAACGCGAAAATTAAAAAAGTTATAAGTTTGAATTATATTATTTACTCACTGTTTACACTAAGATTGCATAAATCGAAGTACCGTTCTTGTGATGGCACGGGCGGCAGTGATTCCACTCTTAATTGAAAAACGTTATTTTGATTGTGATTTCTTGAATATGCCTGTGTTAAACATTCCCAAATTTCCATGAGAAGTAAATCGCCGACAAGTCTGTGAGAAAAATGTTATATGATATTGTAATAAAATTTTGGAAAAAATGAATAAAGAATTTAGAAAACGGATACTGGTCTGGAAGCTTTATATATGGATTAACCAACTATCTAAAGGAAATACTGATAGCACCAAAATGTGCTATCATGTTTTCCAACCGGATTTTGACATCCGTTATCTATATCTTCATACTAGAAGTATTAATCATCTAATGGCAACAAGAGTTATTATGCAACGTAAATATATAATCTATTTGATATATAACAGTGAAAAAGTAAACACTGAGAAGAAACTTTCTAAAATGAAAACTTGTACAATAAATACTACTGTATTTGTTTACATTATTTGAATATTCTTTTATTTGGTTGCATATTTTTAGTAGGTATTGATCACGCTGCATTGAAGTAATTGTTGGGATTTACATAGCCCTAAAGGATAGGTAGCTGGAAAAATCGAATAAATCGAAGAATTCCAGTTTAACATAGAGCAATGTGGACGTTAAGCCATAGATAGGAACCAAGCGTCGATCCACCCTTGTGGGCACTGTGGGCATGCCCACAACCCTATTTGAGGTCGATAGGCTAATGTTATATCCAATAATATGCTTTATATTTTACGAAGAATAAGGCAAATCCGTACTCCGATTAGTAACTTAGCCGATTTTCGGATGGTTGTGACCACAACCTTTTTTGAGGACTGGATCCGCGCTTAATAGGAACGCGGAAGCTTTTTCCAGAAGACCATATGAAAAAGACTATCAAAGATACAAGGATGAACACTTTTAAGAAAGAAATCAACATACCAAGAACCATTTCGAAACTTCTATTATTAATATATTCTTTGCATTACATATACCTACATCGAAAAAAGTGGCAGTTTGTCAATAAGTCAGTTCCGAGTTTTGGGAGTGAACTTAAGCTGTTAAAAGTGACACTTATATTCGCGTTAGCAATAAAAATCTCATATTGCTAGTGGCCGGTTTTAATTTCCCAGATAGTTTCCACAATAATAGGTCATAAGAATTGTGAGGTTTATTATATAGATCAAATCAGAAAATAAATATATGAAAACATACCCCACATATTGGCTGTGACTATTAAAGTTATGCAATAGAGCCATTGGCGGATTGTTATGTCCTAAAATAGGTGGTGGATCAACATAAGATTTTTGTTCTTCTAGCCACTGCGGATTCCAACGTAGAATTTTCATGAGTGTTATCTTCTCTAATGAGAATATTGGCATTTTCCTCGCATCCACTAGACTCGTTCTCACTGAACTGGTTTTTTTCATCTGGTTACCAGGTTCAATTTCGAATTCGTACACTACGGGCGGAGTATTTGAAAAGCGTACTTGCTTTTTCGTTTTTTTAGGAGTTAGTAATGGCTGCACTTTCGACACTGGTTTACCGGGCAGAGATTCTAGACTGTCAGTTAAGGGCTTAAGGTTTTTAAGAGGGATTTGTTCTTGTGAACTTTTTGATTTTAAAGGTTTACGGGAACTTGAATGTGATTTACTGTTACTTTCTTTTTGAGAATCTTTTTCTTTACTTGTTTTTGATTTATCATTCTCATGACGTATTTGTTCTTTAGCTTCAATGGTTTTTATGCATTCTGTATCATTCTTTTGATCTATACTAGTTTTCTCAGTAGTTTTAGTTGATTTAGAAGTTTTAGTGCTTGTTGTATTGGGTTCAGATGCCTCTTTCCCTTTCTCTCTGCTTTTTTTATCTCTTTTAGTATGAAATTTGTCTGCCGCTTTGGAGTCATCTGTTAAGAAGGCCCCTCGATTTGAAGTAGTAACCTTAACATTGATTACAGATTTATTTGAGTTTGAAGTTGATCCCTTCTCTTTATTTTCCACATCAATATCCTTTTCTTTGGAAGCAATTTCTTTAAGCTTTCGTTTTCTTTCTTCTTTTTGAGAATTTGTAATACTTTTTTTTGACGTTGATGATTGTTTTTTTTCTTTGGAATGTTTGCTAGAAGTTTTTTTACCTGGAAAAATATTAAATGTTACTACTACATATATTGAAAAAAAATAGGTATATATTAGGCATCATGGACATTTTGTAATCCTACTCTTATACTCCATTGTTACATAGGTGACATATCATAGTGATGATATTCTCCTGACCGATTCCGGCCACAGCGGCCAATCTCATTGAGACAACTAAACTTGGCCCGATCTGGGACTCGAACCCAGGACCTGCGGGTGTGCAGCTGTACATGCTAGCCACCACCGAGGCAGTCATAGGCAGTCATCAAGTATTCCACTTATACATAAAATCGAAGTTTAATAAAGAGCTGCATACAATTTAAAGTTAAATCCAAAATAGTTTGTTTCATTATTTGCACTGTAAATAAAATCAAAATAACTTTATTCAACAGACCTTTAAATATATAAAAAACTTTTTAACAAAAACATAAAAACCGACTTCAAACAAAAGCACTAAAAAGTAAAAAATAACAAAAAAATAAAAACCGACTTCAAACAAAAGCACTAAAAAGTAAAAAATAACTGATTTGTAATTTTCATTTACTATACATACCTAATCAAATATTTTCGAAGTCGGTGTGCTTTGCTTTGTATGGGCTGGCACCGATTTCGAAAATATTTGATTAGGTATGTATTTAATAGGTAGGCTTTAATTACTTAGCCAAAGCACACCGACTTCGAAAATATTTGATTAGGTATGTATAGTAAATGAAAATTACCAATCCGTTATTTTTTACTTTTTAGTGCTTTTGTTTGAAGTCGGTTTTTATTTTTCCCTTTTTAGTGTAGACAGTATTAGCATAGTAAGGATTCTAACGTGTTAGGCTTGTCAAATCAAACAAAATAAGCCCAAACTCAAAGTATCTACTATTAGCCGTTGAAGAATTCTACCTATCCACTTTCTGGCCTTGCCATCAGATCAGGTCAACAACACCGAACCACTGTACTATCAACGGAAATAGAAATACTTGCAAAGTTTCAAGTCAATATAACAATTAGAAGTTGGTTAAATTCCTCATTAGTTGTTTTTCCACCCTTAGGGGTGGTATTTTTTTTGGAAATTTAAATGGGACCAATCTGGAAGTATACCCTTTCAAACAAAACAAAAATTGTCCAAATCGGTTAATAAATGACGGAGTTCTGAGGTAACAAACATAAAAAAAAAACAGTCGAATTGAAAACCTCCTCCTTTTTGAAGTCGGTTGAAAAATAAAATGTCTGTCTGTTACTTTGTATTACACAGAATTGAGAGTGTAACTTCATAGACTTCATATTCATCTTATGTATGTTTAATAGAATACATGCATATTTGAGTTGGGGATAAATTTAGAGACTAGTGACTTATTTGATATAGGCTTAAGGCTGTACTTTATTAGTAGGTTACACTCATATCCAAAAAGTCATGAGAATTTAAATTCCAATTCCAATAAAAAAAAAACAAAGCCATATAAACATGTTTCTTACTTTTTTGATTCACATGATGAGATTTTCTTCTGGTTGGTTTAATAAGTGGTTCTATCATTTGAGTTTTTTTAGTAATTGCTGTGGAAGTTTGTGCAGGTGGACTTAAAGGTGTAATGGCTTTTTCAGTTGGCTCAGTATCTAAATTGGTGCTTATGACGGTATCTTTTAATTTATCGCAGATATTTATCTCAACTGATGGTATTTCTACATGCTCTGTCACTAAATTATTACTTGTTCCATCCACAGTATCTTTGAATTCATCTAGTTTATTTTCTGGAAGATCCGTTGGAATCATAATTATATCATCGATAAAATCCTCTTCGTGTATATTTTCCATGTTGTCATCAAATATAACATCATCATCTAATTGACTATAAGAGCTATTTTCATTGTGTTTGTCTTGTTTATCACTCCTTTTGTGATTAGTGTAAGGTTTACTTGGTGAACTCTGAGATAACCTTATAAAAAGTTCAGATTCACTATCACTATCACTATTTATTTCTATAAGTTCATCATACCCCAAATACTCTTGTTTGACATTAAATGCTTCGAATTGAATGTCTTCACATTCTTTTTTTAATTCAAGTTTAGTCAAAAGTTCTTCTGGTTGTTCTACTTTCATTTTCTTAATGCAATCTTCAGCATTTGAAATTGTGTCAGTGTCAGATATGATATCTATGACATCATTAACTACCACATTTTTGGGTTTAGATTCTAATTTACGTTTTAAACTTAATTTCGTTTCAAAAATGGGTGACTTTACATCTGATCTAGGAATTTCTGCCTTTGTATCATCTGAAGAAAGCTCATCTATTTCTTCCGACTCTGTGTTGTTTTGGAAAAGAATTCTATTTTTTAAGGGTGTAATGCATTTTATTAATTTAAATACATATTTCTCATTATCTGAAATCTTTACAAGTGGAGCTCCTACTGTCCATCCAAAGCCTATAATATCTGCATCAGTTAGGGCATATGGAATGTTTGGTGGTATTTTCTTTAGTCCAACATAAATACCATTTGAACTCTAAAATAAGGTAATAACATTAGTATTATAGTAAGTAAACAAATTAATGCTATAGATATGTAAATATAGTAGAGAGTTAATAGCTTAACATTTCTCAGAACATCATCCTAATCAACAAATCATTTCAGCTTCCCACTCTTTATATAAACATTTTTGCTAGCATATTTAGGCCTTTAACTCATTAATTCAAATAAAAGTTACTTAATTTTATGACACAACTTTGTAGCTGTAAAACATTTGACTTGTGTTTGTGCATGTCAAAAGTATAAAAATGATAAATTCAAGATATTTATTGAAACCAATTTTGATTTATAAACCTAATAATAACATAGTAGTAATTAAATATAGTATAAAATACTGTTACAATAAGTGTCTTTAATTATAAAAATATTACAATAATTAATTATATAAAGTATACAACCTTATTTATTTAATTATTATAATATTGCATATTTAGTTGTTGTAATGTAGAATTATTTACCTTTAAATCTGTAACTAATACTTCACTGTCTTTTACTTTTATTAAGCAATGATTTCTAGAAATTACTATGCTTGAAAGAGTTATTGTATTGTCTAGACCTCTCCCAATTGTGACTTCATCACCTTCAGATAGTTCAAATTCTTCATTGCCAAATGTTTGACGACACAGTTTCCATTTACTCATTGTTATTTGTTTTCCGGGAGTTTTAGCTGTAGGATTAACTTTTATAATTGGTTTTGAAATACTGAAGTAATTAGAGTAAAAATATGAGATAAAGTACAAATATTGTTATTTCATAAATAATAAAATTTTAAGACCTCAGTTTTAAATAAGTCCAATTTAAGATTTAAAAAATATCTTTTAAAACAATTATTTAATAGGTTGATTAGGTCAATATTAGATTAACGATCTCCAAACATGCTATGTCAAGATCATTGTTATTTCTTGTTTATTCAGTTAATGTAGTTTGAGAAAAGAAAAGGTTTATTAAGCTCAATATAGTTTTATTTTCGTATTTATTGTTTTTAGATGTGGAGTAAGGTTAAATATTATTAAAAAAAAACATTACATACCACATTATAAATTAACTGTATTATGAAATACTTTCTTGTATCCTATGTAATATATATTTCAATATTTTGAATTAATTATAATACTTATAATAATAAAGTCAACAATTTCAATTTCCGATTCCGAACCTGTTCTATGTCATACTGCCCTTTAAAATAGAGTTGGCCGTTTCCTTATTCCTATAAAACGTTGATGAACAACGATGACACTAAGATGCCGGCATCCGTTGCTGGAATAACGATAATAGAGCTGTAGCAAACCGTATGTATTCGTTACTGAGTAACGGGTACGCCATCTAGTACCGAGTACCGAAACGTTACTCACGAATGCATTTCGTTACTCGCATTTTCCGTATACATTTTCGTACTGATGTTTTTATTGATTTTTTATTCAACAAAATACAATTTTCAGTTAATACCGTTGATCAGTAAATTGGGGAGTTTATTTATTTCGAGTTGCATGATTTCGGATTCTTAGAAATATTGTTTAGAAATAATTTTAAATTAGAAACAACAATTAAATTTAGAGCACATTTTTAGTTTTTTATCCAACAAATACTTATAATTTTTACTGAATGATTATGTGTAATACGTACAGACATAACCACCAACGCTGAGAACGAGCTAGAAATGTTTATTAATGAACCAGTGCTTCCGCGCGATTCTTCGCCATTAGTTTGGTGGAAATCTCACTCCTATATGTACCCCAATTTGGCGGAAATATTTCATGAGCACTGTCACATCGTGGTGACATCAGTGGAGTGTGAGAGAGTATTTTCAAAAGCGGGAAATTTTGCAACCCAAAAAAGAGCACGATTAAGCAGAAAACGAACAGCGGAACTTGTATTTTTAAAAGGCAATGAACACAATTGTATATAGATATCTCATAAAAAATCAATCATCAAAAAAATCAAAAAGCAAAAAAAATGATTATAAACAAATTAAAAAAATTAAGAAAAACAAAAAAAAAGTGTATAAAATTCTTTTATAAAAATTCTTATTGTACATAAAAACAATGAACTTTTAAATACGCCAATGTAATTATGGAACTTAGCTTAATACAATTTTACCGTGTGATTACTCTGATATATTTAAAATTCATTTAATTTTACATTGTCAGTCCCAAGCCTGTAGAAGTATGAGGGAAAGTACATTGTTTGAAAATAGGTTCATTCAAAGCACCATGTACGTATGCAACTACGTCAGACCTATATCTCTGCTCCATATCACATCAGTAGCGCCATTGGTGACATTTCATACTTCATTTTAATAGCAAATAATATAAAGTGTGACACCAGACCGTCGAAATCAAAAATCTATGCGTGAAAAGTAGCAGGTGAAATCACGTGAAAAATTGTTGTAATTTCATCACGTGATAATGATTTAAAAGTAGCAATCATTTCCATGCTTAAACGATATACGGTGTAACGTATAATTTATACCGTACGCAATACATACGCAACACGATTCGATGCGATGCTCTACGAGTATGTTATCGGGTATCAAAAGTAACGAGTAACGATTCAAAAGTAACGAGTACTGATGCTATAGTAACGAATGCATACGGGTACGCTATTTTTCGTTACTTTTACACCTTGAAACGATAACGTTGCCCGCAACAACAACGACATTTGACTATCAAATTTTGACAACTCACAGTCACGAGGCACGCTGCACGCACGATGAATTCAATCGTTTCCACTCGTTTCGTTTTTTATGTAAATATAGGCCTATTTTATTCTGTATCCCATTACATTATTTAAATTATCTCAACACATAGGTACCTACATGCATAACAAATAACATTTGTAATTTATATGTAGGTAGGTATAATTGCCAAAAACAATTGTATGTAGTAAATTCATAATTCATTTAATTGCTTAGGTATTTGAAGTAAAAATAATTAGACTATGTAGTTTAAAATAACATCTATTTTTTTATCATAACAATGTAATTCTCTCTTCAAGACAAAAACCCTGGCCCGGATGGGCTCAGCAACGAAGTTTTTAAACTAGGAGCGCCAATTCTCGTCCATTACCTTACACAACTATTTAATATGGTACTAAATACAGAGACTGTACCGCTACAATGGTGCAAATCCGACATCATATTGCTGTTTAAGAAAGGCGATCCATTAGACATAGGAAATTATAGACCAATCAGTCTTTTAACAAATGTGTATAAACTCTTTTCTTCTATAATATTAAAACGAATAACTCAAGATATTGATAACTCACAACCTATAGAACAAGCAGGCTTTCGCTCAGGGTTTAGTACTACCGACCACATTCAGGTTATAGAGAAATACCGTGAGTTCAACAGACCACTATACATGGCGTTTATAGACTATAGCAAGGCTTTCGATACATGAACGAATTAGAGACTGGACCTGACATAAAATACAAATGTATGAAAACTAGTTCAACCAAGTGACGCATAACGCACACAAAGATTTTATTACATTATTATAAACACTGATACACAATACAATATTTCTAGTGCTTGAACGTAATCGATAAAATACATATATCGATGAACCAATGAATGACATTTTAGACATTGGTTAGCATAGTCATCATATTTTACATCTTTTAATTTAAAATATCTGTATTTATTATAATAAATTAAAATAAATGAATTAAAGAGGCAATAATAATGTGTCAAATAATAATTATTTTTTAATTTGATTTATATAAATACGATGGCATTGATGGCAACATTCTGTTGGCCTATAATAATGTTAATGAACAAATGAATATCGGGTATATATTCCATTAATAAATATTATTTTATTTAATTAATAATAAATATTATTTTGTAAAGATTAAAAAAAATATTAAGCTAATTTAATTAAATAAAGTGATTTTGTTGATTCTGTTATTGAACTATTTTAATTGGCAATTGATTGTCTCGGGTAGTTATAAAAATGTGACACTGTCCTACTATTGCTCAGTTCTTAATAAACATTTGTGAAATTAGGAAAAAGAAAAAGAGATTGCAAATTAAAGTGAGTGTTGGATCGTGAAAGTAAAATAATTAGTGCAAGTGGTAAAGTGTTTTATTACAAATCGCCAACCCAGAAGTTTAGTGCTAAAACATTATTGTTTGATTTTGTGTAATTTATGTGTTGAAATAAAATGATCTTTATTATTATTACAATGGAATAATATTCCAAAGTATATAAATGTGGAATAAAATAAAATAAAAAATTAAGTACACATACTAATTATAATTTTTGCATTTTTATTTTTATTTGATTTAGAAAATATTTTTATAAATTTATTGTCATCAGATTGTAGGATACTGTGGTAAAAGTATTTTATGTTATTGTACTGTACAAATAACACAATTCGTTTAGTAATTTCGTCAAATATCGATATATTTTTCGACATTGTCAAGCACTAGTCGATGTCAAATGGACTCACTCGACAGTTTAGTCATTTGTTCTGAATGGTATAATCCAGGGATTTTATGATGGTTGTCAGATGTCAACAATACATAGAAATATCGACTATATTTAACATAGTTGGATAATATGACATTTTATTTTACATTTAATTAAATTGTGTGATAAATAACAATAAATGTAATAAAATAATGTATTTACAAGTGAAAAGAAATACTGCTGCTTCCGCCGTTATAGTTTTTACATCATTTAACAGAACATTTAGTCATTTTTGGGAGATGTTTTGGTGACAAATAAGTGCTTGAGACTGACGCAAAAAACAAACGACCAAGCCTAAAATCTCCTGGTTACTGAGAAGACCGATAAAGGTACGTGCGCTTATATGTCTAGTCCAGTGGTTAATTCGTTCATGTTTCGATAGTATAAGTCACCATTCAATTTGGAACGCCTTGAAAATATTCAGAATAGATCAAAAATATATAAACATATTGATATATATTTACGAGAATAGTCAAAGCTGTGTAAAACTTGAAACTAGAGGAACACTTATTGATATAGAAAGAGGTGTTAGACAAGGTGACCCCCTATCACCTAAATTATTTATTGCTGTCTTTGAGAACATTTTTCGGAATATAGACTAGTCACAAAAAGGTATAAAAATATGTGGTCGTTACTTAAACCATCTAAGGTTCGCTGATGATATAGTACTACTAGCTGAAACACCTAAGGACTTAGAGGACATGATGCAATTACTTGACAAAGAAAGTACAAAAGTCGGCTTAGAAATGAATGCCAGCAAGACTAAAGTAATGACCAACAGCGTTAAAGAACCTATTAAAGTAAGAGGAAATATCATAGACTATGTCGAATATTACATTTATTTAGGAAAACAAGTTTCTTTTAGTAAAACTAATAATGAAGAAGAAGTTGCAAGAAGACTAACTATTGTGTGGAAGAGATTTTGGTCATTAAAAGAAATTTTAAAAGGTAACTACAGTTTACTTATGAAGAAAGTCGTAATGGACACATGTATGCTTCCAAGTCTATTATACAGCTGCCAAAATTGGACCTTTACAGAAAAAGTTAAACACAAGATAAGGAGCAATCAAAGAGCAATGGAAAGAAGTATTTTAAAGATAAGGAAAGTACAGAAAATAAGAAGTGACATAATCAGACAGAAAACTAAGATTACCGATGCACTTACACAT